GTTAATTAATTGGTTAATTGGCTCTACCCCAGCGCCTACATCAAGGTGGGCTGCGCTCATTAATCCATTAATTAATTGATTGATTGATTGATCAGTTAATCGATTCGTTCGGTTTTTTTGGGTTTTTTTGGGTTTTGTTTTTTTTAATTGGCGGATGCGGCGGGGTGAGGAATTAATTAATTAAATTTTTTAATTGTTTATTTATTTATTTATTTATTTATGTATTTATCAGAGTAAGGACGTATTGGTTTATTTATTTATTTATTTATTTATTTATTCATTTATTTATCTATTTATTTATTTATTTATTAGAGTAAGGACGTGTTTATTTATTTATCTATTTATTTATTTATTTATTAGAGCAAGGACGGATTGGTTTATTTATTTATTTATTAATTTATTTATCTATTTATTTATTTATTTATCAGAGTAAGGACGTATTGGTGTGTTTGTTTATTTATTTATTTATCTATTCATTGATCAGCGCAAGGATGTATTTGTTTATTTATTTATTTATTTATTTATTTATCAATATATCTATTTATTTATTTATTTATCAGTGTAAGGATTTATTTATTTATTTATTTATTTATTTATTTATATGAGGACGTATTGGTTTATTTATTTGTTTATTTATTTATTTATGTATTTATTTATTTATAAGAATAAGGACACATTGGTTTATTTGTTTATTTATTAATTTATTTATTCATTTATTTATCAGAGTAAGGACGTATTGGTTTATTTATTTATTTATTTATCTATTTAAATATTTATTTATTTCTTTATTAGAGTAAGGACTTATTTACTTATTTATTTATTTATTTATTTATTTATTAGAGTAATGACTTATTTATTTATTTATTTATTTATTTATTTATTAGAGTAAGGACGTATTGGTTTATTTATTTATTTATTTATCTATTTAGATATTTATCTATTTCTTTATTAGAGTAAGGACTTATTTATTTATTTATTTATTTATTTATTTATTTATTTATCAGAGTAAGGACGTATTGGTTTATTTATTTATTTATTTATCTATTACATATTTATTTATTTCTTTATTAGAGTAAGGACTTATTTATTTATTTATTTATTTATCAGAGTAAGGACGTATTGGTTTATTTATTTATTTATTTATCTATTTATTTATTTATTTATTTATTAGAGTAAGGACGTATTGGTTTATTTATTTATCTATTTATCTATTTATCTATTTATATATTTATTTATTTATTAGAGTAAGGACGTATTGGTTTATTTATTTATTTATTTATCTATTTATATATTTATTTATTTATCAGAGTAAGGACGTATTGGTTTATTTATTTATCTATTTATATATTTATATATTTATATATTTATATATTTATATATTTATTTATTTATTAGAGTAAGGACGTATTGGTTTATTTGTTTATTTATCAGAGTAAGGATATATTGGTTTATTTATTTATTTGTTTATTTATTTATTTATTTATGCGTTTATTTATCAGAGTAAGGATGGTTTGTTTGTTTGTTTATTTAAATAGGTAATAATTTGTTTATTTAAATGAGGACGCGTTTGTTCCTTTGTCTAGTAAAAGACGAAGGTATTTATTTATTAATATAGGAATATGTTTATTTATGTATTTATTTATTTATTTATTTATTTATGTATTTATTATAATAAGGATACATTTATTTATTCATTTATTAAGATAGGGATGTGCTTATTTATTTATTTATTTATTTATTAGAATAAGGATGCATTTATTTATTTATTTATTAAGATAGGGATGTGTTTATTTATGTATTTATTTATTTATTTATTTATTAGAATAAGGATACATTTCTTTATTCATTTATTAAGATAGGGATGTGTTTATTTATTTATTTATTTTTGTATTTATTTATTAGAATAAGGATGCATTTATTTATTTATTTATTAAGATAGGGATGCGTTTATTTATTTATTTATTAGAATAAGGATACATTTATTTATTAATTTATTAAGATAGGGATGTGTTTATTTATTTATTTATTCATTTATTAAGATAGGGATGCGTTTATTTATTTATTTATTTATGTATTTATTTATTAGAATAAGGATGCATTTATTTATTTATTTATTAAGATAGGGATGCGTTTATTTATTTATTTATTTATGTATGTATTTATTTATGTATTTATTTATTAGAATAAGGATGCATTTATTTATTTATTAATATAGGAATGTGTTTATGTATTTATTTATTTATTTATTTATTTATTAGAATAAGGATGCATTTATTTATTCATTTACTAAGATAGGGATGTGTTTATTTATTTACTTATTTATTTATGTATTTATTTATGTATTTATTTATTTATTTATTAGAATAAGAATGCATTTATTTATTCATTTACTAAGATAGGGATGTATTTATTTATTTACTTATTTATTTATGTATTTATTTATTAGAATAAGGATGCGTTTATTTATTAATTTATTAAGATAGGGATGTGTTTATTTATTTATTTATTTATTCATTAGAATAAGGATACATTTATTTATT